GGAAAGTGTTATCTCTAAAAGTACGTCGACGACAAAGTTGAAAAAGAATGGAGAGAGTGGGCAGCACTGACGAACACCACTTGAGGTAATCAATTCTGATGACAGTTCGCCATAAGCTCTCACTCTACTAGTTGTGTTCGAGTAGAGGGCCTGTATAAGGTTAATGTACTTCTTTGGTACTCCTTTCAGTGACAAACACTGCCATAGAACCTCACGATCAACAGAGTCGAATGCTGCTTTAAGGTCGAGAAATACTACGATTGTGGGGCGTCTGAACGTGTGTCTGTGTTCTAGAACCTGACGTAGTGTGAATATCTGGTCTATACATCCACATCCAGGTCGAAAACCAGCCTGATTTTCTCTAGTCTGCTCTTCACGAGCTTTGGTTAGGCGTCGAAGTATTATTGAGGCTAATATTTTAGACACTACATTAGTCAAACTGACTCCTCTGTGATTGTCACAAGAGGACTTTTGTCCTTTCTTATAGACTGGCACAATCAGTGATTGAGACCAGTCAGAATGGATTACATCCAGTTCCCAAATTCTACCTAAGACCTCAGTTAATCTCATTGCTAATACTGAACCACCATCCTTAAAGATCTCAGGAGTAAACCTGTCAGGGCCTGCTGCTCTCCCTCGCTTCAGATTTCCTATGGCTTTTTCAACTTCGTAAAGAGACGGAGGACCTATATTAACTTGCCATTCAGATTGACTGGAGATCGTGGAAACCGAAGCGTGGCTGAAGGCCAGTTGAACTGATCCCTAAAGTGTTCTGCCCATCGATCCAATCTCCTGGATTGAGAATGTATAATACGTCCATCTTTCTCTGTGATTGTTTCGCTAACGGTCGGGCTCCTAATTCCGGTTTCCTTAACGAGTCTGAACAATTGTCTGCTATTACGTATTGCCGCTGCCTTTTCCATCTCTCTTGCTTTCGCTACCCACCACTGTTCGCGATCATTGCGTAGACTTCTTGTCAGCTTGCGCTTAAGCTGACTCCGCTCCCCATTATGTTCAGAGCCAGGTGGAATGAGTTTCCGAGCGTCTATCAGTGCGATAGATGCTGCTGAGATCCAGTGTTGCTCCCTAACCTTACGGGTTACCGTACTAGCAGATATCAATGCTGTTTTCACAGCTTTTCGGATATCATTCCATGCTGCATCGGGGTGGGCATCACATACATGGCTGCCTAAATATTTTTCTAGTTGTTCCTGAAATATACTCTTAGCTTGACTATCATTAGGTAGGGCCCTAAGAGGTTTACTTGCAACATCTTTCCTACGTCCAGTAAGACGCAGACAGATACGCGCTCGTACCAGAGCATGATCTGAATCTAAGTATGTGCTCCAGAATGAGCGACAGTCTTCTATCGAGCCCCTCCACCGGTGGCTGATAGCGATGTGATCTATTTGGGTCCAACGTTGGGACGAATTAGGGGGTCGCCATGTTAAAAGATGTTTTTCCTTATGCTTAAAGTTAGTATTTGCAAGGAACAGGCGGTTATCTGAGCATAGCTGCAACAGACGGTCGCCATTATCTGTTCTTTGAGCCACGATACTATAAGATCCACCCAGGTGTCTTTCCCCATCGCTTAGTTTACCTACTTGAGCATTAAAGTCACCGGCCATTATTACTACATCCGAGCGCCTAGCTTTTCGGAGAAGGTCGGAGAGCTTTCTGTAAAACTCATCTTTTACATCATCTGCGCTGCAGTCAGTGGGGGAATAGGTAGAGACGTCGAGTGTCCCTATCTTTTCGGATCCTTACTGTTCCGTTTAGTCGGACAGCGCACAAACGACTGTCTACTGGGATCCACTTTAAGAGAGCTAGTTCTGCCCTAGGACTCAATGCTATGCCTACGCCGGCGAGGCCATGGGAAGCAGAATCAGGGCTTCCAGATACACGAAGCGTAAATCGAGTCGGTTCTTTATTTTGGCATGGTGAGGTCAAATGAATGACGCTACTCAGATCCTGTATGCGCGTTTCGGAGACGCAGCACACATCGATGGCGCGAGATTCTAAGGTCCTAGCTAAGGAAGCCTACTGTCCTATTTGGCAAAGTGTTCGTACGTTAAAAGCTCCTACGTGTAGTTTAGAGCGTGGTTTCAGGAGACCAGGAATAGTGTTCCACGTACTCGAATCGTTTGCCCTAGCGGTGCGAGGTGATAAAGAGAGGTGAGGAGGGTTAGTCATGGAGATAAGAGAGGTATTAGGAGGTGTAGGGAGGATTTGAATGTGACCAACTTGGTCTCGTGTGCTGTTACGGGTATGAGGGCTGATGTCACTTCCCAGCTGCCCACACCGTGGAAGGGTATTTCTTGAGGAACCTGAAAAGGAAATTAAATAAGTGTTGGTCTTAACAACCTGGGAGCGTGACCACAGAGCCCAGGGGACAACTGCTTGAGGCCGGTCGCGCAGGGCCTTTTTGTGGGAGGTTTTTGACGTGTTAGCTCCGTTCTTCAAAGTGCCTTACCACCGGAGACGGAAACCCGTGAGGTAAGGTGAGGTGTGACATTTTTAGGGTCGACCTTTTCTAACCCCTTCCTTCCTTGTGGGAAGGCAGCATCGCTGTAGATGCTGGTTGTCCGAGGGAAACACCTTACTGCTATCACACCCCTCTACAGTCAGCAGTACGACTTCGCCTTCAGACCTTGAGTTGCTGCTCTTAGTCTTGCCGTCCTCCAATCGACCTGCCTGGCATGGTAGAACCTACAGGAACATATGTTCCAGCCAATATAGCTCGGTTGGGTCATCACGATAGGCAAGCCTGACCACCACGTCAAGGTAGCAGCTTTGGTCGGGTCCCAGTCTTAATGGTGAATTTGGACATTCGTCCTTAAGTACTCTCGAAGATAATTTACTAGTAGCCTTTGTCTAACACGGCTCCGAAAAAGTCGATAACTTCGAACAGGTGCAACATTTTGAGTTACCGATTACCAGCTTTCTTGTAATGCCTCCCGTATGTTAACGGTACGATATTACCGTACTAGCTAATGAAACCTAGTATCCCATCTGAAAGTGTTCAAACAACGAAAGACAGATACATTGTTTAGACCTCGACCTCAGAAAATTAGGGATAACGTTTACCAACCTAAATCCCTGGCATCAGTTTGAGATAAACGACACGAGTGAGTAGGTAAAAGTGCAGAGTTACAATACCTTAGATTTCCATACCGTTGATACTTCTTTTTAAGGTGTCTGAAAAGGAAACCAGATTAATAATGGACTTGGTGAGGCAAAATTGACAACTGCTTGAGGTAGGCCACACACTAAATAAAGTGTGTCGGCACCACTACCACTTGTGAGTTGTAAAAACAAGCGCATCCGGCCTCTCGTTAAGAGAACCACCAGTAGTTTTTTAGACGCAGTCGCATTTCAACTACAATGAATAAGTAGTGTGGTAACCAGTTTTCCGGACTGATTGGATTGCTACAAACTGACCCCTGTAGTACGACAGGATACAAGTGATATTTGGAATTTAGTACAAGAATAATTAGTTAGTCGTAAATAGAGTAAAAGCCGTAGCATGTGCATTATTTCGGTCAACCACACTACATCAACATATAATGAGATGACCAAGACTAATGCATTATGAAGGCAGTAACTGTTTCAAGGACATTAGAAACTAAGCATAGAGAATCGAGAACAAAAAGCGGATTCATGGAATAAAAACCTATGCGACTATCCTACAACTCGTTTAGAGGTAGGCAAATAATGAACTCAAAGTCGCCACAGAATAAATCCAAATAACTTGACATCTTCAAACGCTGGTCACTAAAATTGCAAGAACCCCCAATACGTAGTCTGAGCCTACCAACACAACTCTTACGAGCGGATCCCATGTCTGACCATACCTAGTTCTTTCTACTTCTACACTGGCGAACATTGCCCATTGCAATGGACAGTGTTTAGGGGCATGTCCAAACCATCTCGGTAGACGACGGTTCAGCACATTGCTAATTGACCTGCCATCTGTAACCAATACTCAGCACCCGTCAGTACTGCTTGCTTGATGGTCAATACATGCAAGGATACTGCTTCAGGGTCATCCATGGTCTAATACGAGTGACCCATAAATACCCATCACATTTTGAAGGCCGTCTTGGAGCCCTAAAGCAGAGCTGTGACGTAGACTCGTTCTTTGGTTAACGAGTGGATATTCTGCCTACGCCAAAGGTAACGCAAGTTGTCAAAACCAAGCGAGTTTACTGAAAGTGTTGCGATTTTTTGGACCTCAACTTATCATACCCGACGATATATCAGAGATAAGTGAAGTGGCCAATATGAACAACTGACTTATTACCTGGGACCAATTCAGGCGCTGACGAAACACTGGATCTATACGGCGGGAAGCGCTTGGTACAAAACGAAAACTTTTGTAATCTTTACAGACAAAACAGTTCACATGTCAATTAAAACTAGACCACCGTGAAAAACCTGGAAGCACGGGACTGCCGTTTCGTTCTAGTATGGGACTCCTGTTTTCATGTCGCAAATCTCCCATATTACAGTGAAGGCGTCTAGCGGGCACTGGGAATGGTGAGTAAATTCCAGATTTTGACCAAAACATTTGCTTTAGAAGTTACGCAAATGTGGTTAGTCGACTGAAAATTATTCCGAACCTCACCAGGTAAATAGAACAGAAACTTGTCAAACAGAAGTGAGGCATCATTCAAGAACAATTTAATTGAAATCGCCAAAAGATATGAGAACATTTACGTGGCCTGTAAAATGTCCACTCAGGTTTATGATCAGTTTGAGACAACGGAAAACAAACCGTTATTTTACAAAATACAAAAAGTGCTAGACATTAAGAGCCTTAGATGGCTTAAAACTTAGTAAACCAAGCCCAAAACAAACGAAAAACTAAAGATATAAAAGATCACAAAATATATAGTTATGTTCCAGGGAAATAACATGATAAACCCCAAATATACGTATATACACCGTGCTAAGAAAAATTCTGCAAGCAGAGTTCATACGAATTAACGCGGACAAAGTTAGGAGTTGAAAATGCGAAACTAAAAGAAATAGGAAATCAGTGGGAACTATTAACCACAACTTGAGGCCTGTGGAGGTATTTGTGGGGAATAGGGCGGTTAAGGAGTTTTGCTACAATAGGGTAATCCTCAGTATTGTGAGTCTGGACATTGTCATTAGAGCTTAAAGAGGGATTAATTTCCGATACTGGAGTAAGCAGGAGGGAATCACCAAACAAATTGTTAGACTTTTGATTAGATGTTTGGGCATCAACATAAGCATACCCATGGTAATTTTCTTGCGGACTATGCCAGTACGTTTCCGGAGGTGAGTGATCACCAGTGGAGAAGCTTTCATCATGACTTTCGGGTTGGGGAGACAAGTTAAGAGCACCACCCCCCTCAATCTGCTCAATTGCCATCACCAAATGTTCAAGTCGTGCAGCAGTATTGCTTGTGCTGTCAGGCTGAGGAGATGCTGAACAAATCGATGTGCTACTATTGAAAGAAGTAAGTGGGGATGACTGGTGTGTATCGGTGCTTTCAGGAGAAAAGTGGACGTAATTCGTGCGAGATGAATCGTATATGCCTTCAACCTCGACTCGTCGACGTCGATTCCGCATACAATCCGGCCGGTCCTCTGCAAAAATAAGAACTTTGAAGGATCTCATACTTACTTAAGTCATCAGATTTGCGTTTTCTAGAAGTCACCGTTGAACCAGACAACTCTGACGAGACTGGATTCAGTTGCAAACCAGCTGACTGTCGGTACACAGCTACTTCGCTTTCCAGTAAACTAACGCGCATGAGTAGCGTGTTGATATATTTGGCGGTCAGTTGTAATATTGTCGCCTAACCGAATAAGTGTGAAAAAAGTTAGTTACCTTGCTCATCTTTTCTCCATCTGATATGGATGGCAATAGGATACGGAGAGAGTCGAACCCCGCGTTGATACTTTGCATCCGCCGTCGCTCATTGCTATTGGCAATTTCCCTACGAACTCTCTTTTCTTGATCATGATGACCGTGAGCGATAACAGCTGTGTCTCCAGAGGGTCTACGTATAAGATTAATAGACAGCCAAAGAATTTTAAAACTTCGACAAAAATCACAATTGAGTTAGCATACAATCACTTAATATAACTAACAATCATATCAAAACAAGTAAAAAATGTATTAGGGAGCCTGTATACAGAAATTCTAAACCATAACTCAAAAGCAATATGGCGTCACGTGAGGAAACTTACCTTGAAGATTTTTCACAACCATCAACTGGCATTTCAGAGACGAAGAGCTTATTTTCCATCAAACATCAAATACACTAACTCTTCGGGCACTAATTATCTAGAGAATTAGCAGTGACGACGTTAACAATATCCAAAGATTGTAAGCAAGTTGCTACCCACCACGTCTACGTAGTGCGTACGTAGCGCGCACAAGATGGCTGACGTAGCGCATTTTTATGTACAAACAGTGAATTGAAGAAACCATTTATCATTAGCCTCATAATTCCAGTAATCACACTTTAATTCTCAGTAAAATTTATTTTGAGCCGCCCTTATGCAACAAGCCTAGGGTTATCATTCAACAACTTGTAGTCTGTAACCAAACGAATTCAGGGAAACTTATGATTTTCTGGCCTAAGGAAAGACCTAATCATAACACTAAATTCCATGGTTCTTCCTGCTCACATGACGGCATGCTGACTGACTTCACAAGGTGTCACAGCGATAAACCTACACGTAATTTAATTAAATTAAAGGAAACCATGTAGTGGTAATATATTACCTTTAATGAATAATCTTCTTGGAATTTAAGTATTATCAACATATGATTGAAAGTTCAGCAAGAAATTTGTCGGCCAGTAGGATTTATTAAGTTTTGGCCAATCGTGTATGATATTCAGTGTAATGATTCATTCTGTTTCCCTTTATCCAGTCTCAAGGTAACAGTTACCGTTGGTTAGGTTTTGTGTTTATGTCTGCATATTTTTATATATGCCATGTATATTATTGACACTATCGCAGTACGATATTAGTTTTCTTTCTTTCGTTTCAGCAACTTTATGTCTCTTGACGCACGGCAAATATCCCTTGTTTGAAGAGTGCGAGGCCAGTGACGCGTTTTTTTTAACTGGTCTTCCTTTCGAGTTTGTATACATTTAGACGAGTTGTATGATTTGTTAAACCACTTAATAATGGATAACCCCAAGTATCATACATTATTTTATATCTTTCAGTAAAAAACAACTGTGATAAGTATTTTCCTTCTCATCAGTACGTCACTGCATCATTTTTCCTTCCTTATTCACCTGTGCTATTGCGTCATTTAGTCCTAGAATAGTCTCGGTCAACTCAATCAATATTTTCGGGCAAACCACTCCATCATTGGTTCGCCACATGGTAGTGCTTCGAAAATTTTCTATAATCACTTCAGCAGTCCAGAGAATCACACATCTTGTTAGTTCAAGCAACTTTTATTCAGTTTATTTGTCTATACAGTAAAAACGTTCTTAACAACCTTGAAATAACCGGCCTGTTGGTCAAAAATGGATTTTAGGGGTGAAAAAAATTTTCATGGAGTTAGTCTTGTTGGAAATATCGTGAGAATACTTAACAAAATACAGCTATGTAAGTCAAAGTTTCGAGGTTTTATGCTTAGATTTTCAGTGGTTTTATGTGAAGTTGAGCAAGACACTTATTTTTTTATGATCAGTCAGCTACACCAAGGATCAGTGAATTAGTGTTTAAGAATACTGAGCAATAGGAATGTCTGGGTCGTTATAAGAGAGAGTTATAACAGTGGCGACGAGGATAAAGGAAAACACATTTAAGATGTCGACATCAAATAACCATCTCAACTGAATACTAGAACAACGGCAAGCACAACTTGAAGCACAAATGCGGTTGTTATAGATTCCAACGCAACATCTTAACATCCACTGCTCGAGTTCACATGCTATTTCAAGTACTTCTTGCGATGCAGTTGCTAGTTGCATCCCAGAATTCATATATCATCCTGAAAGTAGAAATACCTTTCTCACATGGTTAAAGTGTTTGGAAAATACGTATAGAATAAAATTCTGTAAACAAGATGACGCGTGGAAGACTCGATTGTTGATATTTAAGTTGGGAAGCGATGAACATGCACGTTATCCTGACCATGTATTGCCAAAGTTACCCTAAGAGCTCACTATTGAGGAGACTTATTGTCCGAGACGTCCTGTACCATATACTGCCATTGAACTAGTCAATCATGAACTTAATTGTTTGCAACAAGTTGGCGATATCATAGTTATGGGTTCAACTTGCAGTGAGCTTTCTGATCGACTAAATCAAGTCCTTGACCGAGTGTTGGAGTATGGTTTCCAACTACGTGGAGAAAAGTGTATCTGCTTCATGCAGTCGATCAAATACCATGGTTTCATCTCAGATAAGGACGGTCGCGGACCAGACCCTGCCAGCATTGAAGCCATTCAGAAGATGCTCGCACCAACTAACGTCTCTTTTTTTAAATCCTTCTGAAGATTAATCAGTCATTACAACACATTCTCGCTTGAGATGCATTGAGATGAGGGGTCCCCTGAATGAAATACTATTGAAAAATAAACCTTGACAGTGATTAAGAGGATGTCAAGCGTTTTTCAACAAAGTCAAACCAATGCTCAACTCAAAGCTTCTTTTAACGCACTTCGATCCCAGATTGGGACTTGTTGTTGTATCTGATGTATTTAATCATGGAGTTGGAACAATGATATCTCACATGTTCCCGGACAAATCAGAAAAGACAATTCCTTATATTGTTAGATCACTCACTCCAGCCGAGCGGAACTACAGTTAAATTGAGAAGGAAGCATTTACAATCACTTTTACTGTTAAATGATTCCATAAAATGTTCTATGGACGTACGCTTGCTGTACTGACAGACCACAAACCTTTGGTTGTAATCTCTGGTTCTAAGAAATGAATCTTTGTAAATACGGTTAACAGATTACAGCGCTGGGCAACAATTATTTTGGGCTATGATTTCATTATCAAGTGTCAGCCAACAAATATTATCGGTAAAAGCGACTCTGTCTCTTGATTAATTGGAGTTCAACATCCTGGACAAGAGGACATAATCAGTGCCTCCACAGCAGTAGATCGAGAAATACGGAGTATAGTAGCAGATGCCATTTGAAAAACACTCAGTTGTCGTCAAATGATGTCAGAGAAGAAACCCTTCGAGGCTCAATCCTACAAGAAGTTAGAAAGTTCCACCTTGAAGTGCGGCCCTCGAAGATCAGTTCCACAGAGTTTCAACGGTTTTAACAACGTAGACTCTCTCTCTCTTAGTCATCGACGACTGTCTGTTGTTTGCGGAACTCGTCATAATCCCAAAGAAGCTGCAAACAGCAGTACTTGAATAGTTGCGCACAGGCCATCCTGGAATAAATCGTATGAAAGCACTAGCATGAAGTTATGTATACTGGCCGCATATAGACACCCAACTGGAGCAGCTATCCCGTTCGCATGCCGAATGTGCATTAGCAACAAAAGCACCGCGGAAAGCAGGGCAGCAGTCATGGCCAATACCACAGTCACTGGGGTAATGTATACATTTGAACTTTGCTGGTCCACTTCACTGACAAACTTATCTTCTGGCAGTTGACGCATACAGCAAGTGGCCAGAAATGTTTTCATGGAACATCCTGCTGTAACCTGCACAGTCAGAAAACTACGTCAATTACTCAGCCGTTTCGGAGTCCCAGAATTAATAGTTAGCGACAATTGAACGCAGTGTACACCTGCCATAGTCTCAGAATTTTGTCGGCAAAACAGAGTCAATCATGTTCGAACACCTCCATTCCATCTCCAATCCAATGGCAAAGTGGAACGCTTTGTTGTCATATCTAAAATTGCTCTTCAAAAATCAAAAGCGGATGTTACCGCTGAAGAGATCTCCGAAAGGTTCCTGCTTATTTATCGCTCTGCACCGAATACTCAGACGATTAGCGGGGTCTCTGCAGCAGAAGCTGTACTTGGCAGAAAAATACGAACACATTTTGATGTCATCCGTCCTACGCCAGCTCTTGATCCTCAACGAAACCTACTGATGGAGAAGTAGTTCACTCGACACCATGAGGCACAAAGACGATTGTTCACGGTGGGTCAAAAAGTACTTGCTAGGACTATTATGGAAAACATCCTACATGAATAGATGGTCGAATCGTGCAAAAGAAACAGTGTGGTTTACGAAGTGTCAGCTGGCTCAGAATTTTGGGTGCGTCATGCTCGCTAATTGAGAGCGACTTCGATCGACATCAACGGAACTCGACATGGAATACCTCTTGATGTTCTGCTGGACGCCTTTGAAATCAAAACCTCTGGAACAGACAGGTCAGTCTGTGTAAGCAGAGAGTGATACAACTTTTTCATTGCCTAGACGATGAATAAATGGAAAGAACAGGTCAGTCGCTCGGTTTAAGTTGGATCCCAGCACCAGATCCTGCGAATCTGCTCAAATGAGAGGTGTTAACGGGGCATAAATCGAAATAAAATACTTTCCGTGCACAGTCATGTTAGGGCACGCTGATTGTCTATCTCTTATCCGATCGGCGCTAGTAGATGCCTGGAGAACACTCTAGAATCTCATGTAAAAACTATAAATGTACTGAAATTTTTCTTATTGTGCTTCTTACTTCCACCTACCCTTGTTATTTGGAATACAATATCCTTTCTGTTCAACCGTGTTCTGATTTGAGGACTTATCGAGTGAATCACAAAGCAATAGGGATAGCTGAGTTGTAACAAGAGAAATTAAAACGCTGGGGTTGGTCAAAAACGAATTCGACCACGTTACACTTAGAAATCGTTCGGCCATCAAACAGCCCGTGGGCATCTTTCTCGCAGCAACGACTGGCGTCCAACTGGTGACTGCTGTAGACTGAATACAAAAACCATTCCTGATCGTTGTCCGTTATCTCACATTCACGATTTGACAGCTAGGTTGTTAGTTATAACTGGGTTTTCGAAGATCGACTTGGTTAAGGCCTGTAACCGAATTCTCGTGGCTACCGGCAATATTTCTAAAACCACAATAGTCGTCACTTCTTTGGGACTCTAAGAATTTTCGCTCGTGACTTTCGGTTTAAGTGATGCTGATTGAACTTTTCACTAAAGCACTGAAGCACTCATTAGTATCACAGCAGACGCATCCGACTCGGCAATCGAAGGAGTCTTACAACAGTTGAATAACCACACATGAAAATTTGGTATTCTTCTTCAGACGGTTGCTAGACACCGAACTGAGGTATAACACTTTCGG